ATGCATATATGACATAATAATAATAATAATAATAATGTGCTATACATCTGGAACAGGAGATTTATGTACAGGTTTGTGCATGTATATCAGAGAGCTGCTTCAGTTTAATCAGGAGGGTATACAGGATGATGGTGTTGAAAGTGGAGCTGAAGTCCACAAACAGGATCCTTGCATAAGTTCCTGGTTTGTCCAGATGTTGCAGGATGAAGTGCAGTCCCATATTGACTGCATCATCCACGGACCTGTTTGCTCGGTAAGCAAACTGCAGGGGGTCTAGTAAGGGTCCAGTAATGTCCTTCAGATAAGCCAACACCAACCTCTCAAATGTCTTCATGACCACAGACGTTAGGGCCACAGGTCTGTAGTCATTAAGTCCTGTTATCTTGGGTTTCTTTGGGACGGGGATGATGGTGGAGCGTTTGAAGCAGGCAGGGACTTTGCACAGCTCCAGTGATCTGTTGAAGATCTGTGAGAAGATGGGGGCCAGTTGGTCAGTGCAGGTTTTCAGACAGGCTGGTGTCACACCGTCTGGGCCTGGTGCTTTTCTTCTCTTGTTCTTTCTGAAGACCTGGCGCACATCATCCTCACTGATCTGAAACGTAGGAGTGGGGGAGAGGGGGGTTGCAGGAGGTGTTGATGGTTGTGTGGAGAGATGTTCAGAGCGGGTGTGGGGTGTTAGACTGGGAGTTTCAAATCTACAGTAAAACTCATTCAGGTCTTCAGCAAGTTGTTGATTGGCCTCAGTGCTGGGGGATGGTGTCTTGTAGTTGGTGATGTCCTTCAGGCCTTTCCACACTGATGCAGGCTCATTCGCAGAAAACTGGTGTTCTAGTTTTTTAGCGTAGTTCCTCTTGACCACTCTAATCTCCTTATTCAGTGTGTTTCTGGCCTGATTGTACAAGACTCTGTCCCCCCTTTTGTAGGCATCCTCTTTGGCCTGACGAAGATGACGAAGTTTTGCTGTAAACCATAAGAAATGACAGTATTAAAAAAAAAAAATCAAAATGATGTCAATGAAAGGCTCTATTAAAATTATGTTTAGTTAAAATGAACATTATAAATGTTATTACATTAATGGGGCCACACATAAACACTTAAGTCATTCTGCTTGCCAAATACTAAAACTAGTCTGGAACCACTCAATTAATAACTGAATAAAACTCATTTCAGACTCATTCAAATCCTCATTTGTAAGTCGCTTTGGATAAAAGCGTCTGCTAAATGACTAAATAAATAAATAAATAAAACACATATTGTATGCTATATAATTTGCCCTTCAAAGTCAGTGAATGCATATTTATAAGGGTATTTCTGTGATTGCAAATTGTATTGTATCGTGTGCATTATTAGCAGTTTTATATATTTACTATAAATATGTAATTAATCTGAACTCTGCCCTACATAAAAGTGACGCCTGATGAACTGCGTGCATGTACTGAAGTTACGCACGTTTATAAATCTCTGTTCATGTTTACGCCTGTAGCGGAGCGCACAGCAGACAACATTCCAGCAGCACGCTGTCACCTACGTAACTTGCGTACGTGATTTCCAGCGCACACGAACAGCCTCACATCCACCTGACCAGCCCACAGACCACACCTCTCGCTCGGCCGTCCTCCTGGACATCATAACAGTCGCCGACAGTCTGCGCGCGGGCCTCGATCGACGCTCGTGTCAGACCTGCTGTGGGTGTGTGCATGCAGCATAATGGAGCAGGCGAAACCCCGAACGGAGAGCCGCCTCCGCTTTCCTTCAGCGCAGCAGCTCCGCTTCAAATGGCAACATCACGGGTGAGGAGGTTCGCGCAGGAGGGGCGGACGGTCCCTCCTCAGCCGAGAGTAATGGTGGTGTTTTCGGCTGCGAGTGACACTGAGAAACAGGGAGATGCGATGTCGGGCGCGGACACCGGGGAAGAGGAGTATCGCAAACCAGCCATACCTGTCCCTAACCTTAATCTAGGGAAGTCCCTTCGCACTTTAGACGCACCTGAGGAGGTAAGTCCCCGAGGTTTAAAGAGGATGTTCTGTTTTTATAACGGAGTAGTTGTAGTGTGCTGCATAGAAGTTAAATGCGAGTGTTTCGCCCCCTTAATGTTATTTTTTCCAAAAGATCATCTGGAGGAGCCGTGTCAAAGTTTCCCAGTTTCTCATGCTCAATCATAACCGTTTCCATAGGCAACAGATGTAATGGGCGTATTTGCCTCCCGATTGCTGCAAGCGGATTGGTGCTTTATCCCAGTGGGGCGGGTGGACGTCGTTTCTGATTGGTTCACATCACACGTCTATCAAATCATATCGACTGGATTAAACTAATCGTGTTTCGCAAGGTCTGTGTTAAAGGTGTCACTGCAGACTTCTACTGATAAACCCAGTGTGACCTGTCAAGATGTGTAATATGATTAGTTTAACACCTTTGTTTATCATTGTTGCCAACAGGGTTTAAGAGAATTTAAACATGTAACAGCATTCAAATTAACTTGGGAGGGGACTGATCCTGCATTGCTAGTAGATAGTTAAAAAGTTACTGTGCATAACTATAACTTTTAGTACAGTGATATGTCTTATCATATATATACACTACCGTTCAAAAGTTTGTGGCAGGTTTTTTTTGTTTTGGAAAAAAATATTTGTATTCAGTAAGAAAGCATGAATGATCAAAAGTGACAGTAAAGACATTTATGAAGACATTTATAATGTTACAAAAGATTTATATTTCAAAGACATTCTGCTCCCTTGAACTTTATATTCATCAAAGAATCCTAAAAATGCATCCATGTTTTTTGTGCACCAAATCAGCATTAGAATAATTTACGAAGGATCATGTGACCTTTAAATGGATAGTTCACTTAAAAATGAAAATTCTGTCATTAATTACTCGCCCTCATGTCGTTTCAAGCCTGTAAGACCTTCGTTCTTCTTCGGAACATAAATTAAGATAATTTTGATGAAATCCGAGAGTTTTCTGACCCTGCATAGACCGCAATAGAACTTCCATGTTCAAGGACCAGAAAGGTAACAAGGACATTGTTAAAATAGTTCATGTGACATCAGTGGTTCAACCGTAATTTTATGAAGATACAAGAACACTTTTTGTGCACGAAGAAAACTAAAAATAACAACTTAACATACAGTTTCTTCTCTTCCATGTCAGCATGCAATGCACATTCACGACAGTACCACGACGCATGCATGCATATTTAGTAATATTTCAAAATTTTAAATGAAATAAATGCATTCTAGGTGAGCATAAGAGACTTAAAACATAAAAAATTCTTATCAACCCCAAACTTTTGAGCGTTAGTGTACATTCAGACTAATGTAAAAGGCTATTTGTGTTGCTCCTCTCTCTCCATAGTTCCCAGAGGTCATCCCCCTGAATGTAGGAGGTACATATTTCACCACTCGGCTGTCCACCCTGCAACGTTATGAGGACACAATGCTGGCTGCCATGTTTAGTGGCCGCCACCACATTCCCAGGGATGCAGAGGGACGATATTTCATCGACCGAGACGGAGCATATTTTGGGTAAGTGTTTAGATTAGAGAATATCTGATAATGGTTGGTGTCTAGTACCCAAAAATACAAAGCAAACATTTTGAATATCTGAATTTAGCATTTTCTTTATTATTTCATCAGTAGATTACTTAAATAACTGCTTGATATGATGCTTATTAGAAACGCTTATACGTACTTGTCTGGCATTAGGGACATTCTGAATTTCTTGCGAGAGGGAGAGCTGCCTCAGAGGGACCGTGTTCGTGCGGTGCACAGAGAAGCTCAGTATTATGCTATTGGGCCTCTTTTGGAAAGTCTGGAAGACACTCAGCCACTTACTGGAGAGAAAGTGCGACAGGCTTTTCTTGATCTTTTGCCCTATTATAAAGGTAGTATAAAATTATAAATAAAAATAATAAAACAGGGTGGGGTTTTCAGCTGACTAAACAGTTGTCCCCTTTTCTTCCAGAAAATCTTGAGCGCATTGTGGAGATTGCAAAACTTCGTGCCATGCAGCGGAAGGCACGTTTTGCAAAACTGAAGATCTGTGTGTACAAGGAGGAGATGCCCATCACCCCTTATGAAAGACCGCTGTTCAATTCGCTACGATTTGAGCGCTCGGAGAGTGAGGCCAAGCTGTTTGAGCACCATTGTGAGGTTGACGTGTCCTTCGGGCCCTGGGAGGCAGTGGCGGATGTTTATGACCTTCTTCACTGCATAGTAAGCGACCTGGCAGAGCGTGGCATCTCTGCTGACCAGCAATGCATTGGCGTGTGTGACAAACACCTCATCAACCACTACTACTGCAAAAGGCCAATCTATGAGTTTAAAATCACCTGGTGGTGAAGGTGAGGTGTTTTAGCTGGTGTTTCTTTTGCCAAGAACTAATACACGCAAGTCTGAGCAAATGATGTTTGCTGCTGTCTACAGTTACATGAAACCAGCAGGATCATAGAGTCCTACTCTATGTAGGAAATGAGCGGAAATAATGACAAGCTTTTGAATAAGATGGCTGTTATTGTGGCATTTGCTCTTTTGTTTCTTCATGAAACTGCAGTTTGCAACCCCAAATTTCTTTTATGGGCAGCTCTATTGATTCCTTAGTTTTTGTAAGTACTTGTTTAACTTAGTTTGTTTAGAATAAACCCGGAATCGTTTCGTCCAGTTGTAGTTCTAAAGGGATTTTCTGGAATCGTCCTCAGAGGAAGTGAACTTCTGTGAAACAGTGTTTTCTGTTCTAAATAGGACATCTCTTAAGTATGTTTCTGTGTTAGATGTATTGAATGTATTAACAGTTTGATCGAAGAATCAGTGCACTGGACCCATATTCGGAAATTGTTTGTGATGTATTTCTTAAGAAGGAAACTTTTTTTTTCCCTACAGTATTTTAAAATGATTTTACCCCATTTGTTTTACATGAATTATATATGTAGGACCTGATCTGAGTCATGTTGCCAATAATGAACACCTTAGATCATGCAATCTCAGCAGATACTGACTTTAACAAGAATACAAAGGTCTTGTCTGGTATTTACAGCCACTCAAAGCTTCACATAAAGCCTTCTAAAATAACCACACATCACTAGGCAAGCATAAAAGTTTTGATTTATGACAATAAATAAACTGTTCTCAAAGGAGAACCCAAAATAGATTTTTTTTTCTTTTTTTAGAATAAGTTTATGAGCTAGATTTAATATGTCCTGAATATGAATTAAAAGCAGTATATTTAAAATTATACTAAAAGACTTAGCCATTTTATTGCAGGTTAGATTGCCTATTTTGCTACTTTGACACTTTATGAAGTTATTTTCTGCTGCCAAAAGCATTTGTCCATGCTTTTATTTGCCATATCCCTCAACAATTGCATATGATTTAGCATTATTTGTTATTTTAGTCATCTGAAACCTCTGCCTCTCATTGGTGAGGGTTGTGAAAGCCACATGAAGTTGCATGAGCTCTGTTTTGGCAGCAGAATATCTAAAACCAGTTAAAATGCTTTTGATAAGCCTAACTGGGATTTATTTTCAGTCTTGCCCAGTTTACTTTATGTTGCTCAAGTCTAAACCGATGCATATTTGTTCTCGGTTGTACATTTGGTGAATACTGTTGTTTGTATTGCATTATTGTACTGGCTCTTATTGTGCTGATAATAAACTATATATTTTGCGATTTCTTAAAAGCAGATCCTTTTTGTCACATTTAAACGTTCATAATAATGCTTAATTTATCCGTTTAGTAAACAAAACAAAAGTACAGAAGATGATGAATGCGCGGTATTTGTCATGGGGAATGTTGTTGACATTCCGAGCTCAGCCCACCTTTAGCCCCGCCCACACAACCCATACACCAGTCGCGAGGATATGATGTAATTGTGACCCTGGAGAAGAGACCGCTGACGAGGTATCTGTCGCTGTCCTGTAGATTAACTTTAAATACCAAAGTTTTCCGTTATTTTAAATGTTTTGTTCGGTATCTCATTAGACTAGTAATGCATATTTATCGTATATCTTGTTGACAATGAGCTGTTGCGTTTGTTTTTAGCCACGTAGCTGTTTTGCTAGCTTGACGTGTCTGCCTGCGGCGGATTGAATGACATTCTATGTTATTTTCAGTCGATAATGTATTTTCTAGGTTACTTTTAAAGTCAACCATCTATTAGACAAGTAATTAATGTTTAAGCTACAACATTCCGGCATTGAACGAAGTCAGTATATGTCAGGGGTGCCCAAACTCGGTCCTGGAGGGCCGGTGTCCTGCAGAGTTTAGCTCCAACTTGCCTCAACACACCTGCCTTCAAGTTTCTAGTATGCCTATTAAGAGCTTGATTAGCTGGTTCAGGTGTGTTTAATTGAGGTTGGAGCTAAACTCTTCAGGACACCGGCCCTCCAGGACCGAGTTTGAGCACCCCTGATATAGAAGCTACTGGTTATTCACAATGGTTTTTATTGGTGTACAGTGTTATATTGGACAGTGTTCCCAGCAAAATTGAGGATGATGAGCCAGATGAAGACAGTGGGCCCGAACCAGCCAGCACCAGTACAGGAACATCCATGACAAGTCCAGGAGCGATCCGGTCTGACATTGTAAAGAGAAGGCGATCAGAGACACTAGAGCTGTTGGAGAGGTATCTGGAATCTAAAGATGTAAGAGACAGAGAGAAAGATGAACAGCAAGATGAAGTGGATTTATTTCTTCGGAGTTTAGCACCTGCATTAAGACGCTTACCTGCTTCAAAGCAGTCCTTGGTGAAGCTTCAGATCCAAAAAATACTTCATGACGCAGAGTTCGGACAGCCCAGCTTTCCCCAGATATCCTCAGTGTCACCAAGTAATCAGTTGTTACTACAGTGTAGTGTTGTAAAACCCAGTTGAAATGCTTTTTTATTGAAAATAAATGTGACTTTAAAAGACGTGACTTTGTGCTGGTTGTATTATTTTCAATGTGGAGTGTTGAGTATAAACCACAACTTGCATATTGATCGAAACCAGTTTATTATATTCAGAAGATCATGAATGATAATACATGAAACACTAAGGAAACAGGAAACCATATATACAAAACACTTAAAATCTTCTATTTGCATTTGATCCACAAGCTGGTCTAAACAAGAGCACATGAAGCAGATTCACACTAAACCACTGTAATGCACAAGAGTGTGTGTGTCACCTGTTACTAGTCATGATATGCATCCTTAAACAGGTGTTTTATGCCTAAGAAAGGGTCAGTATCCATTATAAAGCATTCGTTTGATTACTATTTACAAGATGAATTCTATAACATTTTGAAGGAATAGCCCAATCTGGTGAATCGGTCTACTTTTTCTTGCCCTTCTTTCCTGCTGCTGGTTTCTTGCAATATTTCGCCTCCAGATCTGAGATAAGGGAGTTGAATCCTTTTTCTTTGGACTTTGTAATGCATATTTATCGTATATCTTGTTGACAATGAGCTGTTGCGTTTGTTTTTAGCCACGTAGCTGTTTTGCTAGCTTGACGTGTCTGCCTGCGGCGGATTGAATGACATTCTATGTTATTTTCAGTCGATAATGTATTTTCTAGGTTACTTTTAAAGTCAACCATCTATTAGACAAGTAATTAATGTTTAAGCTACAACATTCCGGCATTGAACGAAGTCAGTATATGTCAGGGGTGCCCAAACTCGGTCCTGGAGGGCCGGTGTCCTGCAGAGTTTAGCTCCGACTTGCCTCAACACACCTGCCTTCAAGTTTCTAGTATGCCTATTA